TATTCATTATTACCTGAGAACCAATATTGCAGCTCTCTTTACTAGGGGCTAGCACATTTTTATTTACTACCTTCCAGGAACCAAATTACCAACACCCGCTTACGTCTAGCGCGACTATTCGGGGAATTCTATTTTATTCGAGAAAAGCCGGTTTTTCTAGAAAAATCCCTAAAACAATGTCGACTTGTTTCAGAGGCGGAATTATTAACAATACAATTGATGCATTAATTTGCGCTGAATAGTATTTCAACATCGAAAAATAAGTTCAGACACGGATTTTCTAGAAAAACTGTTGAGACTTCTTTGATTCTGTAGAGGAAAGATGTTGCCAAAATGTTTCGAATTGTCTCATAGTCAGAATGCCGCTAGCTTGAAGATTTATTTCCTTTGTGTCCTTGATGTTTTCAGCATATAGTTGTTCTCGCATCTCTGCTGATGCTCCGGGGTGCATGGAGGTAAGTAACACCCATTTGGCTCACGTTCGCAAATTTGAATGTAGCACTGTAGCACCCGATATCGCAACGGAGAGTTTCTTTATCGGGTGTTACTTACCCTGGACAGATTTGCATTCACATAATGTTTAAATAATGCCTTTATTAGATAGTATAGATATAATATTATTAGTTTTTTATGTTTTAAACTTTCTGTATTTTATTAATTCGCTCGTTAATTCGTCTATAGACTTAGATAAAAATAAAATTAAAAATATTTCAATTATTTATTTACTGATTTTATGAGTTAAAAAAACTCACAACTCTCTGTTTTTATACACTAAATAGAAATTTAAGAGTCCCCTTAACAATATATTTCGGCAAGTTGACAACATTGCCTGTTAGGTACACTGCTGGCTGCTGTGTCGTCGGTGTCCGAATCTTGTTCAGAAAAGAAAATGTCTGGAAGGCGTGCATTTGCATAGTATATTTTCTATATTAATTAAAAAATTAATAGTGTTTTTATGCCAGAGGATTATCCATATATAAGAATTAACGTTAATTTAATACTCTGTAAAATTAAAATAAAAGAAGTGGATGTAAGTATTATCTATTTGTTTTAAGGTAAATACCTAGGTATATTACTAGGTAAATTCATAGGCGCAACTAGGCTCCAAACTTGAGGGTTTTTTTTATGGGGTTTAACGGAAAGGAAATGACGCGCGTAAAAAAAAATAGTTTTACCAGGGTTTGTACTTTCGTCATCATTTGCCTTCCTTTTTTGAGAAATAAGAGGGAATTTTTCGCGCTGTAACCACATAAAATTTTCACTTGTAGTTACATCAAACCATATTTTCTTTAACTTATGGTTACCTCCATACCACATTTTCTTGAGTCCAATCCCTAAAATGACGTCAGTGATGACGTTTGACGTAGGTAACAATAGGTAACTATCTCCCTGAGATGGCTACCCCGTTGTCCCCGTTGTCCCCGTTTTCTATCTCTGTTTATCTAATAGCAATAAGTGAGATGTAGTAAAAACACAAAGGTCACTACAATTGGATATTGAATTGGATAAGAAGCGAACAAAAATAGGGAAATTAGCAACTGTTTTGGCATTTTAGTTGTTTGCACTTTATTTGTCGGTAGTCGGTACTTTTGATAATCTTTGGCTGTATTCAATTTTCCATTAAATTCCTTGGATTTCATTATTCTTCTATCATACTGTAAGAATTATTTTTTTATCTACTAACCTGAGAAGTAGTCATCATACAATCCATTTTTCTGGGAAAAAATTAAATTTCTCTCCCTAGGTTAATAATGAAAATAATGAAAAAATACCTAGGTCAATAATGAAAATTACGTCATGACGCAAGGATATTGTCATAACTTAACAGGTTTCTATTGGTTTAATTTCAATTTCTATCAATTTAAAAAAAGCAGGTTCCTGTATATACATTATAGGAAGTTACTGTAAGCTGTTTATAGAGGGCAGCATTTCCGACAAGAAAAAATAATTTGAGTACAGACTTCAGACCTATTTTCTATTTTCTACTAGTAGTAAAAAAAATTCTATATATTCCTCGGTAAACAAAGTCATTATATACCTTAAACCACAGAAAGTGTCAGATAAAAATCGACGAACAATATTCATTCATATAGTAGCGTATACCTAGTATGCATTTGTATTTACGTCTCTATAAAACTGCTTTTTTTTCGAAAAATATTCACTCTTTTATTATTTTTATCTGCTAAATTACGCACGCACAGTATAATTTATATTAATATAACAATATTAATTATATTTTGCACTTATATACTCATGTTTTGATATTTCAATGTTTCAATGCTCTAAAATAATTATTTACAAGATGGTAATAGGCCTAATAACGAGGGTAAGTAACACCTGATAAAGCGCACGTCCATGCAACCACGGGTGTTACATTTCAAAAACCGAACCGTTGTCGAACGGATTATACCGAATGCTAAACAGGATGTTACTTACCTCCATGCCTCCGGGGTAGGCAAAATTAACCAGACGTTGGATGTGGGTTTCAAATTCTTGCAGGCCTCATTGAATGTCGAATTAGCGAGAGTCTAGTGTTACGTGTTTTTTAACTTTTACTAAAATATATATTATACGAAGATACATATAAATGTATTTTCTATACAGGGTGTCAATTTGAAAACGTTCAATGCGAATATCTCTGGAAGTAAAGAAGTTAGAAAAACGTAATTTGGTAGGTACAAATGTTAACAGGTAGGGGAAACTAGAATATATTTTGATTACGGGGTGAGTGACCCCTTGGGCTCCATGCACCTCAACCTCAAATTTCTGAATGGGCTCTTTCACTAATTTTTGAAATTGGCATATTTGGATAAAGCAACTAAAAATAGAATTTTCTGTATTTTTACTTTTGAAAGATTTATAGTCCTTCTTGAGAAAACAGAAAAAAAAGAAATACCTCCAAATAAAAACCCAGAATTTATTTCTATGACGTCGCAGCTCGCAATTTGACCGTGTTGCCACTAATTGTCAACATTGAAAATTTGTAATAGATTTAATTCTAAAATGTTCGCAAAATATCATGAAAAGTAGTTAAATTAATTAGTTATGGATTCAAGATTTTATAACTTTTTTATTGAAAATATGCTTAAACACAATTTAATATAATTTTTTATGTTTAGTTTTTTTTATTTATTTTACGTTGCACTACATTTAGTCACCACCGACAACAGCGCATTCGAACCTTTACCTGCATTTACTACAGGGTAAATACAGCCGAGGCGGTCAGCTCCTTGCAACAACAAGCGAAATGAAAAATATATATGTGACGTCAGCAAATCGGCGCATTTCCAATCAATTTGAATTTCGCAAGTTTAAAATGCCTGTAAAAAACTTATTTAACCTTGTAGAACATTTTTTTTTGGTATATATGCCTAAAATAGTCCCTCCTTTGGGATTTTATACTTAAATTACGTATTTAAATTTTAGTGAAAGAGCCCATTAGGCAATCCAAACCACGTGACATTCAAAATGGCGTGTCGGCCACACATGGGCCAAACTTAATTTTTTAGTCGTGTGCTGTCTGCTGTTTTTTCGGAGTTTCACAGTTTTATATACTTTAAGGGGTATTTGTGAGAAATAAGATCTGTTAAGTGCAATACGACAAGACATTGGCCGGTACCTATGATTGAAAAGAGTATTTGCTTGTATTCAAGTAAGAGCTTTTACTTCCTAGTGATTTGTGGAGTATAATCTTTTACATAAAGTAAATTCTTTTGGGGAAAGTGTTAACTCAGGTTAGAAGTATAAACTAGTAGTTAATACTAGGACGTGTTTAACCTCAAATAGGTTCTTTTTGTTTCTTATGTGGGTACAATGTATCGTTCCTATTTCACAAGTATCGTGTATCGTCCATCCATCTTTAGCTAATTCAACGTCGCGGGCATTTTGAGGAAAAGAAATCTAAACATTTTTATTCCACACAATATTTTGTAAAACTTCTTCAATTACTTTCGACACGGTTGTTTGATGTACACCGACATCTACATCAACTTCTTGTTGAAATCCAGAATCACTTAAGGCCGGTATTATATAGGAAAATTAATAAAACAATGTATGTGGGGGATCAAAATTTATGACGTTAGCATGTCGCAATGTTGCCGCATAAACTTCGTTTTACTTTGACATATACCATAAAGTTTGTCATTTTTCCAGGTTACGTTTTTATTAATCAATGGATAAGAATAATTATAATACCAAAAAACGAAATTCCATTAATACAATTTTATAGCAAATTAAATTATATCCCAACTATCAATCCCTGATTCGTTAGAAACTAACAACAAACCGCAAAGGCAACTATTGGCAACATTACCCACTTGTGCCAACCTAAATCCCATTTAATATCGGCAGATTCGGTTATATGATCGCGACAGCATTCTATCACTATTTAACTAGGGTTAAAAAAAAGAGAAAATGCGCTCTGAGTTTAAAACGAACTTTAATTTCTTACAAACTGCAATTGGCAATAATTTCGACGTCATTGATGACCTGCAACCATTATTTTAATAATTTTACTATAATGTCCGGTTGACCGATGGTTGAGTTTCAACCGAGGTTTTTACCGTCGGTCAACTGACTGGACATTATAATACCGACCAAGTACCGACCCTTAGAGTCCCTAAAAATATCTCCATCACATATTTCCTTCCAGATGGATTGGATTGCCTAATGGCACCACCCCTTTTGTGATACCTTGATACCTAGGTACAATTAAATATTTTTGAGTATTTGTCTCACCTGCACCTGCACAAGATTTTTTTTTTAAATATTAAATGTTAGGTATCACCAATGGGATAGTGCCATTTGAAATATTGGGGTTGAGGTGCATGGGGCAATGGGGCCCTCAAGGGGTCATTATAACCAAAATGTAGTGGTTCTAGTTCCCTCTACCTGTATAACGTTTGTTCTAACTTTTTTACTTTCAGAGATATTCGCATTGAAAGTTTTCAAATTGTCACCTTGTATATGTAGTAGGAAGGTTCTCATATAAATTTTTTTAGGGTTATCTGAAGAAGACAGACAAATACTTATTGATAAAATAAATATTTTTTATCATGGTGCTGCCTCTGTAAGGTTTGATGACTTCTTGAAAGATGGCATCCTGATAAATATAGGAGGAGCTCAAGAAGCTGCAAAATTGGCTTTAGAAATGAAAAATATTGAAGTTTTCACGCATATTTCGACTTGCTACTGCAACATTGATAACAGAAAGGTAACATTTTTTTTATACTAGTTTTGCTACCACAGGTAGAAAGACAATCGGTGGTAGGCCAGGCAACGGGGGAAAAATAAGGAAAAAAAATCGTGTAGGAGCCTACTTTGGCTCGTGATCAATTTCGACGTCATCAACAGTGGGCCTATTTGTGCACGTGCTGAGGCATGTGCTAACTAACCTAAACCGTTTTTCACACTATCGTTGTACCATCGATACTGTCCTAAAAACCATAGATAGTGCTATCGATAGTTCCCGACTTCTAGCTAAGGTCTCCTCGTACATTTTTGAGTATGATTCACTATTAAAACTATACATTGTAGTATATAGTAGAAGTAGTCCATCTCTCAAAGTGGAGTTGAAATTCATTCCAAAAGAAAAACTCAAAATCGTCTTCCACAAAATACTTCAATCGTTAAAGAGACCTAAATGTTCCGACGATAGAAATCCTTATCCTCAGGGGCAAGTTCACTCACATATTATTATCAAGTTACTGGTCGTTAGACTTCGCATTTGGCAGAGGAAAAAAAAAGGAAGTTGAAACATTAAAAAATCACATCCAAACATAGGACACTGTACAGGGTGGTCCAATCTCGACACTTTTAATAGGAAACGTCGATTTCTGAGCGAGATACAGAAAAATTAACTCCTAACCTGAGGCTCAAATTTCATGAAATGTTGATTGGTGCAAACCGCATTTTGATATCTTCAACCATATTTAGCCGCTAGAGGGCGATTCTTGATTTTGAGCAACATTGAAAAACCTTCATAACTTTTTTTATTTATGAAGATAATTGATTTTCGTAAAAACTTTCTCGAAGCACTTTTTCAAGCAAAATTGACGTTATCAAATTTTTTTCTATTTGGCACCGATTTTGAGATATTGACCAAAGTGTGATTTTTTCCAATAGGACACCCTTCATATTAATAGCTCATTGAAAAGCTATGATTTTGCTGATTTTAATGATATAAAGTTCGATAGATTTATCTCTAACAGTTTTCGAGAAAAAAAATCTTTTCTGTTTTTGTTGTGAGAAGCAATATGTTAGAAAAGGATATTATATGTACCTATAAGGAAAATGACAAAGGTCTCTTTCTAACACATTGTTTCTTATGACAAATACCGAAATAATGTTTTTTCTCGAAAACTGTTCAAGATAAACTTATTGAACTTTGTATCATTGAAATCAGCAAAAGCAAAGCTTTCCAATGAGCTATTAATATATAGGGTGTCCCATTGATAAAAACCAGACTTTAGTTAAATTTCGAAAATTGATTGAGGTTTTTCACTTTCGCTGAGTTTCTATAAGCTTCAATTATTTCGAAAGGTCCTTTAAAAAGATTTTGAGCTTTGTCTTTTATTTGAGTTTCTTTGACATACACCTTGTCACCTATTTTATATTCTGGAAGATTTTCGGAGACCGTCTTGTCAAATCTTACTTTCGACTTTTCTTTCTGGATATCGGTTTTGGCTCGAGCCATTCTATAATAATATCCCATTCTGTTGTTGAGGTCTCGTATGTATTTGGAGATTAGCTGTTTTTAATTATAAAGAGTCTCAGGGGGTCTATTCGACGTATGGCCAAATATCAATTCGAAAGGTGTGAATCCGTGTGTCTTATTTTTCGTATACAGATAACTGCTTACGGGAGAATATTGAATGGGTGTTCATCTGGATGTTCGGCTTTATGAACGCGGATCATCTCCGTTAAAGTTGCATGGAATCTTTCCAGCGATCCGTTGGATTGTGGGTGGCTAACGCTTGAAAATGTCAGTTTTATGTCGTAGAGTCTACAAAGGTCTTTGAGTAAGGCGTTGTTGAATTCACCTCCACAATCACAGTGAATTCTTAAAGGTGTCCCGTAATGTTGGAAGAATACTAGTAGGGTGTTAAAAATTGTGGACGCCTTTTTGTCTGAGATTGGGTAAGCTTGAGTGAATTTGGTAAGTTTATCCCTAACTGTTAGGGCATAGTTACGAACTGGGAATTCAAAAAGGTCAATGTTTATCCTTTCAAATGGAGTTTTGGAAGTTTCAGTGAAAACGAGAGGAGAATTAAGAGTTTTTCCTACAGATTTTGACTTTTTGACAGATTTCACCGGCTCTGATGAATTTCTCAACATCTTTGGTTAAACCTTGCCAGGAGTATTTGTCTTTAATCCTTCTAACGGTTTCATTGATTCCACGATTTAAATTTGTTTTTCCAGTATGATATTGATCCAGGATAATTGGGATTTGGTCTTGATCTGGGGTTTTGACGATATTTTGGCATATCTTAAGCTTAATGTCTTTTTCGGCAAATATAAAGGAAAATATTTCAAGAATAGGTAATAGACCTATCTATTTTTACCTGGTATGCGCGCGCAACACGAGGCAATGCCTTTCTATTGGCTAACTAGTACAGGTGAGAGATGTTCGTTTTGCACGCTGGGCATCTCCGTGTCCTTGTTCATTGCCCGTGGTCTGACAAGAATAAAAGTACGATTGATATTTAACTTGACATAGCTTGACAAACTGACATTCAAAAATTGTTTGAAATTTTCATTGTCAAATACGTTGCACAACACGCGGTCTTTCTTCTTTCTTTTTTATCCCGTCCAAATAAGAAGAACGGACTGCTATGCGTAAGTCTAAAATAATTTGGTACGTTTTGCCTCGTCTTGCGCAATGAGCGTTCTGTGTCTTTTTTTATCTAATGAAGTTTTCGTATTATTTCCTCTTTGTCTGGTAAAATAGATAGGTCTATTCCAGATTGTTTTCTATGCAAAAGGTTTTTTCAGGGTCAAGTTCGTTTTGACACTTGAAAAGCGAGTAAAAGAAAGTAGGGACTATTTTCTCATTTTTGCAAGGAATGGGAATTATGAAGTATTTGCGTGCCTTCACAGATTTGCTGGATAAAATGTTAACCTGATTAGGTTGAAAATCGAAATTTTCCTCGAATAGGTCATCTATAATTTTGTAATGTAAGTCTGTTAGTTTGGTTTGCCAAAAGAATGTTACAATATTTTTGTGAGACTTGTCCAGAAGTTGTAAGTTGGAAATCTCTATCTTTGAGTAGTCAATAATAGGGAACTTGACAAAAAATTTAAACATGAAAATATTACTATAAAATATAAATCATAAGAATACATTAATTAAAACCTATATCAGCGAAAATTTTTTTTTGTCGCAAACGGCCACAATAAGGAATTGAAAATGCAGAAAAATTCAAATTATTTCCAGCGGGAAAAAACGCTCTGGTACTGGTCGTGACGTCATGTAGTATGATTTGTCAGTGTCTGTCAGCAACCGTCCATCACACCGTGAGTTCGTCTTGAAACACTGAGCACTCGGAGCATTTTCCGTCCTTTTTTCTTATGATGAGAAGAACAGGGATAAAAGAACAAAACAGCAACTCCGAGCGTTTACTCGAACTCTACATAATAAATACCCGTTAGCTGTGTTTATTTACGTTTTTCTCTGATTTTTTAAAATTTTATCAATATTAGAATTGGTTTACTTCGCTTAAATTCAATGATTAGCCTAGCATTATATAAATAAAACGATATACCTATTAATTATGACCAAAGAAGGAAATTCCGAAGGGCAATCCGCCAATCTATAATTTGTGATATGTTTATAGTAACAAAAGTAAGTAGGTATGTGCATTTGCCGAATGCTAGAGCAAGAAACACTGTACCCAACGTTGGATCTAACGTTGGGGCCAATGGTTGGACACATCGTGTGGCGCCGGCTTAACGCAAAATCATACTACGTGACGTCATCCAGATTCAAGGTCGTTTGAAATGCTTTTAATTCGCGCGAAACTTTAAACATTTTTCACCAAGTTATTATTGAGTTTTAGGGAATAATATTTGGGGAATACTCTTTCAAGGCATAAATAAATGATTTAAAAAAATAAAAAAAAAATTGTAAAGTTCCCTATTGATCTGGTGTTGTGGAGATTTACGAAGGAGTTGTATTCTTCCTCAATTTGGGTTGTTTCATCATTGTTTTCGATTTCGACGGAATTTCTTGTTGTTGTTGACTTGTAGAGGGGCGGTTTCTTATATCGTCAATATCAGGTTCTTCTTTGTTAGAAGCGAGTATGTGAATTTTGGAACTTAAATCTGAACAATCTTTAAGGTGGTTTACTTTTATTCGAGATAGGGCATCAGCGTTCTTATTGATTCTCCCAGGTTTATACTCGATTCGATAGTCGTATTCTTCAAGTTTCAAGCGCCAGCGAGCTAAACGACTTCCAGGGTCGTTAATTGAGAAAAGCCAGGTTAAAGGGCGATGGTCTGTGATAAGGACAAATTTTCGACCAAAGAGGTAAGGCCTAAAATGTTTAACTGCCCATACAATGGTCAGTAATTCTCTCTCTCTATGGTAGAGTATTTAGTTTCGGCATTGCACAGCGTTCGAGAGGCATAGGCTTTAAGGAGATCTTTTCCTATAGGGCCTTGTGACAAAACTGCACTGATGGCCAAAGCGCTTGCGTCGGTGGTTAATAGAAATGTCGAAATGTCTCTTCAAAATTGGGATAGATCAGAATCGGGTCAGAAACTAGTGCGGTTTTCAATTCGTTGAATGCGGATATGCATTCAACATATGTTCGTAAATGGTAGGAGAGTAAGCGATAATATCGTCCATGTAGACTAAGCATCTTTCGTTTTGAATGCCGAGGAGAATATTGTCCATGACTCTTTGAAATGTGGACGGGGCATTTTCCAATCCAAAGGGCATACGAGCGAATTGGTAATGGCCATTTTCTACGGAAAAAGCGGTTTTCGAAACATCCTTGGGGTCTACTTCACCTTTTTCATTCAATTTTACTAAAGCATTAGGTACCTAATTTGACTTTTTCTTTTTCTTGAGAAAAGAGTAAAGCATCTTGGATAGATTACACTTGAGTTTAAAGATCTTTTCACTTCTAGCTTCTATAGATATTTTGTTGAGAATTGTTTGAGTGTTGCTTGGTTTTGTATTATTAGGGTAGTCATCTTCAGTGACTTTATGAAGAGGGATAGTTTTGAAATTAGTAACAAGTTCTTTAGCTTTCAAATCTATCACACATTGATAATGTTCTTTAAAAATGGAAATGCCTGCACCTGTATCAATAAGTAATCTGAATTTATTGGAAGCATCATGAATGTAGTACAGATTTTTCGAATTAACAGTAAGAAGTGGGTTTAAAAAAAAATGCTTGTTCCGGAAAATTGAGGTTCGGATTCATGTTGTCTAGATTCAGAAGTTGTATTTGAGTGTCGATATTCGAAGTGTGATCTTGAGGGGTATTCTCTGGCGGATGGTGATTGGTAAAGGGTGCCAGAAAATCCTGATAATTTTCAGCGTTCGAATCATTAGTGAACTGTTCAGCATAGGTATTCGTTTTCTTCATAACTGGAATCTTGTTTTTAAAGGGGGTGTGACCCAAAAACGAGAGTTTTAGTGCAAAAAAATCTAAGAATAAATATTCAAACCGCATCTTACTACGATAGTTCGTTTTTGAGTTAGGGCGGTTTAAAGTTACAACTAGGTTTTTGTGACGTCACACCGAACTATCAGGCACAGTATTAACACAGGTAAAAATTTTCCAAAATAAAAGACAATTTTCTCACTAGAGCGAATTGCAACCACTCAAGTATGAAATACGGTTTAATGCCGACTAAATGAACAGAAGACTGCGATTTCAGCGGTTGTGACGTAACAAACTCCTGCATAATTTATCTTCACAAGGAATTTTCTTGGAAACTATTTTCAATATAGGACTGCGGTTTTCAGAGAGATCTTAGATTTTTTTCTTGTTTTAAGTAACCTAAGTTGTTTTTTAGGGTCCACCCCCTTTAATGGGGGCTTTCAGCGTGCTCAAATTCGTTGGCATATGTTTCATTAGAGGAATTATTTAAAATTTAAGTTTTTTGCTGGTTAGGGTACAAATTGGGGTTTCTTTGAGGGGTAGTTGAAGCGTATCTTGGTACGAACTGTTTCGAAGTAGATGCATTGTGGGTTCTATTTTGAGGAACATTGGTTGTTGATTGTTGGTTTGCGGTGCCTGAGTAGTTAGCTGTTGTTTTTTGGAAATTTTGATTTGGGTATTGAGTAAAGTTTGAACGACTGGAAGCTTGTTGTCTACATTGATTGGCTGTATGGCCAATTTTTCCGCAAGAAAAGTATTTAATGGATGGTTGTGGTTTGTTGACCAAAACTTTTTGAACAGCAGGTTTTGGAGTCTTCTGATTCTCAAAATAGGAAAGTTGGATTTCTCTCCTGATTCTACATTGAGCATCTTAAAGAGTATGTGGGCTTCCAGCTCTGATAATCTGGCCAAGGCGAGGTTCTAGGCCTGTAAGAAGAGTGTTTAGGGCCATAGATTCCACAAGGGAGGACTGTGCTTCTTTTTGATCTTGTGTTTTAAGGTGTGGTGACTTTTGGATAGAAGAATGCATTTTTGCATTCAGTACTTGGAGTCTATTGTAGAAAGTAAGTGGGGACTCGCCAGGTAGTTGTTTGACTCGTTGGAGGTCATGGATAAGAGCTGAGAGGTCTCTAGAATCTCGAAAGTGTAAATTCAGAAGTTGTTTGATCTCCAAATCGGAATTGCGGTTTCGAGAACTTATCAGTTGACCTGCTCTACCTCTGAGCTTATTTTTAATGTGAATAACAAGTAAAACTTTCTGCTGCGTGGTTGCCATATTGTAGGCACAATCGCATCCATTAATAAAGTTTCCTAAGAAGATTTGATCTCCTTCAAATTCAGGAATTATCGAAAATAATTCGGAAAGTTTGTATTGTTCAACTTCCAGAGTGGTTTGATTGGTTTCATTAGGCATTTTGTTGATTTAAATAAAAATATTCATAAACAAAAAATATTTCGAAAGTAATTGGTTGAGAGACTTTTCAAAATACGGTTAATGGAAACGATTTATGAAAATTGGTTGGTAAATTTTCAAAATATGGTAAAATAAAACGATTTTTAAGGAAATAATTGATTGGCAAACTTTTAAAAATAGACAAAATATGGTAAATTGAAACACTTTATAAAAATTGGTTATTGGTTCACAAATTTTTAAAATATCGTAAAATAAAACTTCGCAAAATAATAGAATAATAGGGAATGTTTGAAAAATCAAACAGTATCATAAAAAACAAACAAAAAAAATAAACGAGACAATTCTTTAAGTATACTTACATCAAAAAAATAGGCTCCATGGAATCGTCGTGTTCTCCGTGTTCACTTCGAGTTGGGATTCTTCCGTTCTTTTTCTGTTTAAAGGATTAGAATCCGCCGCTATCAGTTAGAATATTCTTGTTCTGACAACGTTGACAGATCCTACCGACTGCGCCAAATTGTTATCTCAAAAACTCTTGAAATCACTTTTTAAAAAAAAACACTAATTTATTTTAAAATACAGATTACAATAAAAATGGACATTAACTCAACTATACTTAATGACGAATAATGACGCTTAAACTAAAGAGACAGGATCTTTTATTTTTTAAAACATGTCAATCTTGCTGTTTCTATGGGAGCGTTGCGCCGATGAAGCAGAGTTCTTGGCGTGACATGTTCACACAGGATAACTTGCTGAAGTAGCGTCTAGACTTTGCGATACTTTGTACGACCGTAGTGATGAGATGCGTCTGGAGGTCATTGTAGTCGTGAAATCGATATTACATGTATTCTTATGTATTAATATGTATTCCTTTGTATTCTCATGTATTCTTATGTATTCCTTTGCATTCTTATGTAGGTATTCCTATGTATTCCCAACTTGGTACCTATTGAGCGATCGCCTATGATGATGAGCATTAATCTTGAAGCTTAAACAATTTGGATCTGTATTATTTTTTTTTTGTTGGAAACCTGAAAAAATTGACAAGTCCAAAAAAATACAATTAAGTAATTTCAATTTTATAATTGATAAAGTTTTATTTACCCAATAAACCAATATTTATCACATCGAATGTAGCTTTGGCGGGTACCATTGGAAAGCATTTTTTAAGAGCTTTCAGATAAGGTATCGGAAGTGGTTATCATTTAGAATCAGTGGCGGATCCAGGGGGGAGCGCGCGCCCCCTCCCTGGGAGCCTCAAAAACTACTGATTTTTTTTTTTTTAAATCATTTTTAAAATTTTCTAAAAGATTTTTCTAATAAAAGTTCATAGAACAAATTTCCAATAAAATGTTATAGGAAAATTTTCCAAACTACACTATGGTTTAATTTATGGTTTTGTCTTTATCAGATAAATTTGTTATAGCAAAAAAGTTTTTTCCGGGCTATAATGCCGTGGTCCATTAGTATTTCTACCTAACGTTTCGTCATCAAATCTGAGGCCTTACAACCTAGAATATATGGGCTTCCTAAGATTCACAAAACAGGCAACCCACTCAGGCCCATTGTAAGTGCAATAGATTCGCCCACATACAGCATAGCCAAATACCTCACCACCCTCCTTCAACCACGGATTGGCCAATCCAGCTCTTATGTCAAGGACTCAACTCATTTCATCAAAAAGATCAGTGATATCACTCTATTACCAAACGACATTCTGGTTAGTTTTGATGTCGTCTCATTGTTTACCAAGGTACCAGTAAATCAGGCCTTAGAGTATCTGAAAGATGTTTTTCCGGAAGAAATCAACAACTTATTTCACCACTGTCTGACGACTACGTACTTTCAATGGCAAAATGAATTCTTTGAGCAGACAGATGGAGTCGCAATGGGAAGTCCACTCAGCCCGGTTATCGCCAACTTTTACATGGAACACTTCGAACAAATGGCACTACGAACGGCTACAAAGAAACCTACTTGTTGGTTTCGCTATGTAGATGACACATTTGTTGTTTGGAACCATGGAGAGGCAGAGCTCGAAAACTTCCTTAATCATCTAAACTCGATAGAACCCAGGATACAGTTTACGATGGAAGTTGAGAAGGATAACAAAATTGCATTCCTCGACGTCCTCTTAGAAAGATTACCCTCAGGTAAACTGGGACACAGAGTGTACAGGAAGCCGACACATACGGACAGATACCTCAACAAGGAATCTAATCATCATCCTAGGCAAAAGAGAGGAGTCATTAAAACTCTATCTGACAGAGCAATCCGGATTTGTGAACCCAGATACCTTCAGGACGAGATGCAACACCTAAAATCGGCACTTGAAGGAAATGGGTACTCCAAGCAGGAGATAAATAGAGCCATAAGACCGAAGCAGCAGCGTACAACTAACAAGGAACCAGCACAGGTGGCAGGGAGAGCCTTTCTTCCCTATATCAAAAATGTCACAGATCGCATAGGACGAACGCTAGAAAGACACAACGTTAAGCCTATCTACAAGCCCACAAGAACAATTCAGCAAAGTCTAAGATCGGCCAAGGATCCTAGGGCACCTCTTGAATCGGCTGGCGTCTATAGAATTCCCTGCTCTTGTGGATCTGTCTATGTAGGAACAACCAAACGCTCTATCAACACCAGGGTCAAAGAGCACAAAAGAAACTGTCAGCAAGGACGAATAGATAGATCAGCAATCGCCGAACACGTGCTTACACAAACAAGCCATGTCATTCGTTTCGACCAGACTCAAACATTGGATAGAACCAAACATTTCTACACCAGGCTCCACAGAGAAGCCATAGAGATACAGAAACACTACAACAACTTCAACAGAAAAGAAGAGGGCATGAACCTCAATAAAAGCTGGTTGCCAGTTCTCCGAAAAACAAAGACCCTTCCTTTCCGAGAACGAGACAAGGAAAATACCGTAATCCAAGCCACGCCCACAACCCTGGATATAAATAACGCAGTTCCCTCAACGTCGAATTCAGTCATCGGAGAAACACGGAAGAGAACACTTCGTCCTCTACCACACCGCCTCTGAAGATGTCTACCGCAGCAGTAGACGAAACGTTAGGTAGAAATACTAATGGACCACGGCATTATAGCCCGGAAAAAACTTTTTTGCTAGATTTGACCGGCCGTGAAAGCCTTCATTCTTTAAATTTGTAATATATATTTTTTTTTTTTTTTGGAATATGTATTTTTATTTGTTATTTTCGGTTTTTTGATTGTCCAATTTGGACACTTTTAATAGAAAACATCAATTTCTGAGCGAGATACAAAAAAATCAACCCACATTCTGATGCTCAAATTTTATGATATCTTGAACCATTTTGTGGGGAGAATCCAGCGACTTTCTTAGTTTTTCTCTATTTGTTCCCGAATTCGATAATTACCAAAGTCCGATTGTTTTGATGGGACACCGGACACCCTATATATCAATGACTGATTGGATAGCTCTGATTTTGCTGCTTTTAATGTAAAGTTCGCTAGGTTTATCTCTGACAGTTTTCCAGAAAAAAAATTATGTCTGTTTTTGTCATAAGAAACAATGTGTTACAAGAGGACTTTATATCTATAAGGAAAATGAGAAAGGTCCAAGGTCCCCTTCTAACACATTGTTTCTTTTGACTAAAACATCTATAACTTTTTTTTTCTAGAAAACTGCTAGAGATAGACCTATTAAACCTTATATGTACCACTAATATAAGAAATAATAGAGCTATCAATGAGTTATTAATATACCAGTCTGGCAAGTGAACATCTTACAGGCCAATTTTAATGCTATAGAATGAAATGTCTAGAGAAAGTCTAAGGTTAAATAGAGAACGAAAACGATTTCCCCTGGTCCACTTCAAGCAGACAAGCATTCCCAGCGTTTCATGCTGGAGGTGGAACAGGGGAAATTATTGTAGTCTTTATTCAACCTTGGACTTTTTCTAGACATTTCATTCTATTGCATTAAAATTGGTCTGTAAGATGTTGACTTGGCAGACCTGTATAGAGTTTTTTTTATAAAAAAAGGGACAAATATAAAAAATTGGTTACGTCATTGATTTCTGCTTGAAAATGTACCTCTAGAAAGTTTATACAGAAATCCATTATTTTCATAAATAAAAAAGTTAGGAAGGTTTCACCTTATTGCTCAAAATCGAGAAACATCCTCTAGCGGCAAAACAGTTGGGGTTTCGAAAGGCAGTTTGCAGCTTTTGCACCAATCAAGATTTCATGAAATTTGATCCTCAGCAGAGTGGGGGGTTCATTGTTATTTTTTTTGTATCTGGCTCAGAAATTGACGTTTCAAATCAACAGTGTCCAAATTGGACCACCCTGTACCTAAATTCTTTAACGTATAGGTAAAGTAAAAATAAATTTTCAAAAAATCATGGTTGATAATTCTAAGCCTGCGCCCCCCCCCCCCCCTGAAGAAAATCCTGGATCCGCCACTGTTTAGAATTATTTAATTGGGGTGGCTGGGGGTGAGGGGATAAGTGAAACAGGCTATAGTAGAGTGCTCCTTATAATATATTTTGACTTTTGTGGGCGCGTCGGAGTTACAAGCTGAAATTTTCATAGAATGGAGGTTTTATTATGTTAATTCAAAATCAGAACGGGAAAAAGGGCAGTATATTTGGAAATTGAGATTATTGCATGAACGTATAGAATATTAATTTATGATTGTTGTCATACACTTCGTAATGGTAGATTAATCGATAGAGCGGGTCAAAATTACTGGAAAATTTCCCTGACATCAATTCCAAATGGCCATTTTAAGCAGAAACAAAAATAAAAATAAAATCTTATTTTTGGCTCTGGAAAATTTTCAAAATCTTGACATGGTCATGAACAATTGCCCATATCTTTGGTGAATTTGAGTAAATTATACACCATTGGAAAGAGCATTAAATTCTCTATAAATCTGTGCAAAATTGAGTTTGATAGCCTAAATAGTTTTTGAGCAATTGAGCCTCAACTTTTAGTTCAAATTTTGTCAAAAACTTCAAACTCAATTTGCCCAAAAACTATAAATCTGGAAATATTGTAAATTACAGGCCATTTAGAACTTGATAAAAGCTACAAATTGTGGAAATTTTAATGCAATTTGCTCAACCGTTACCGAGCAATTGAGGTTTGAATATTTTGAAATCAGAATTCAAAGGGGGTAACCTTATGAAAACCTCGATTTTTTTGTTTTTCAGTTTTGCTCAATTTTGACTTTATCAATCGATAAAGCTGGTCAAAATTAGTGGAAAACAACCCTGACATTAATTCTTAATGGCCATTTTAAGCAGAAACAAAAATAAAAAGAAATTCCGATTTTTGGCTCTGGAGAATTTCAAAATCTTGAAATGGTCATGAGCAATTGCCCATATCTTTGGTAAATATTGAGCAAATTGAATTAAATTATATACCATTGGAAAGAGCATTAGATTCTCTATAAATCAGTGCAAAATTGAGTTTGATAGCTAGTAGTTTTAGAGCAATTGAGCCTTAAAATTGACTTTCAGTCCAAATTTTTTCAAAAACTTCAAATTCAATTTGCTCAAAAACTATAAATCTGGAAATATTGTTAATTACAGGCCATTTAGACCTTAATAAGAGCTACAAATTCTGAAAATTTTAATGCAATTTGCTCAACGGTTACCGAGCAATTCAAACGTAAAATATAATTTTTAGAAGGTTTTTATCGTTATATAATTTATAGAGTGTTAATTTTAGTGGCATGTAGACGTACACGTCTACATGCCACTAAAATTAACACTCTGTAAAATACAATACGTGAAAAGGTTTATTTTATTTGACAATTGGCGAAAGAGAGAGGGAGCTATGGAGAAAAGTAAGATGGAAGAGTACCTACTGGGTGCAGCGCGAGAGCGTACTGTCCCGGCTAGAAAAAATTACTTTTTTTATGTTTGTGTTAAAATTCAAAACAAAAAAATTATTCTTGCACATATACCGGGTGGGGCACGAAAAACTTTCCACCCAGGTTTTCTCAGGTGTTAGGTGTTTAATCAAAAATCGCTCAGACACGTCAATTTTTGTGGGACACATTTTATTGGTATTTTCACCCCCTACCTGTGAACCCCTAAGTGGGGGT